TTTTTTTTTTTTTTTTTTTTTTTTTTTTGGTACTGGGGATCGAACTTGGGATCTCGGGTTTGCCAGGCAGGTGGCAGCACCACTGAACTAAATCCCCGGCCCTAGGATTTATGTATTTTTAAAAACTGATTCTGGAAAGTTGTCTTTATTTCTTCAAATATTTCTAGCCCATGGTCCCTGTTTTCTGTAAGAAGTCTGGACACCTGTGCTGTTTACAAGTTGCTAAGCCTCACATTTCACATATTTGTTTACTGCCTTCTGGGTAATCTCTTCAGCTCTAGTTAGTTGCTATTTTTCCAATTTTATTTTCACTTACTCTGCTACCTACTCTGTCCTTTGGGTTTTAAATTTCTATTATCGTCCTGTATCTTTCATTTTCAGAACTCAAGTTGGTTCTTATTCAGATGTTAAATTTTAATAGCTATTTCTTTGAATTTCTATTTATTCTTCCTTTTTAACTTCTTTACATATACAAAAATTCTATTTTATAATGCAAAATTATAAAATCTCTATTGGATTTAGCTCAGTGGCCCCATGCCTTGCAAGCACAAGGTTCTGAGTTTGATCCCTGATACAATATATGTATCACTGGAAAAATTCAGGATATTAGCCGCCCTCTTGCTCAAAGAAATTCTTCAAAGAATCTGTTCAAATAAAGAACCAGCTGATAGCATTTTCAGAACTCATGAAGCTAAAAGTGGGAAAATAAGCTGTAGCAATTTTGCCGTACAACACAAGCATTGTTGTGTATGGTATTTAATCATGCCCCTTTAGCTACAGATGTAGGACTGAATGAAGAAAACTTCAGAACAACCTCAAAATTTAAAAGACCTTCATTCCCCTTGTTTGAAATTAATTTTAATGCACTATTCCTTCTATTGTATATGAGGACTTGACGTTTTAAAGTTTTTTTTTTTTTTTTTAACAATGAGCCTCCCCTCTACCTTTATGTATAGGTTTGAATGTGATAAAGTTCAAACCTAGGTTGACTATGAATTTTCCAGGTAGGGTCTGCATTTGTCTCTACCGTGTGCTTTATAAATTTACAGCTCAGGGCCCCTGGAGATACAAACTGGGATTGAGTTTTTTTCTGTAAATTGAGAGTACAAATCAGGATAAATTTACCCATTTTTAGCTGAGACTCCCCACAATACAGACAGGTTTAGCCACAGGCCTCACTGCCAAGCAGGTTTACCACCAGCTCATGGCCCTGGTCCAGCCCTGCGAAGACATAGGACATCATTTCTGCTGTTACCCAGGCAGGCGATCTCTGGATTTCTGTGTGCTCACGGGTCTCAAACCCACTTTCCGCTTCACCATGGCTTGGTAGAAACCTCCAGGCTGAAAGCCAGCTTGCCCCCTTATTTATCTCTCCTATTTGTATTTCAGTTTGGTTTCTGATAACTGCTTTCTTGATAGATCAACAGTTTATTTATTTTTGGTACCGGGGATTGAATTCAGGACCTTGCACTTGCAAGGCAGGCAGAAGAACTGCAGAGCTAAATTCCCAATCCAACAGTACATTTAAATGGGGTTAACGTATTGTTTTCAGATATTACTACTGGTTTAAGTGACAGGACTATTGATTGGGCCTCATGAGTGCTGTTGTAGTGTAGTTTGTTTTCAAATCATATCATGTTTACCCTTTGTGTCTGTTTTATTGTAAATATTTTAACTAGAAATGTGCCACATTTTAAAAGGTAAAAGTTAGAAAAATAATAAAAAGGACAGAAAAGGTATTGAATTATCTGTGGCCCTAATCAGCTAGTGTATATTCTGGAACCAGATTATCACTACGTGCCCAACTAAAGTTTGAGATTTTCTCTCATGCTAGTTCACAACCTTACTTGATTTCATTAAAAACATGTCCAGAGTCTAAAATATAACACATTGTACTTGGCTTTTATGGTCCCAGATGAAGACGATAACAACATTTTCTAAAGTTCCCAGCTGCAGTTTAGCTATGAAGAATTATGCCCCATTTTTCAGTAATCAGCACAGAGAGGCCATATGTTCACTCCAGTGATGATATTATTTCTCAACGCTATTTTTGAAATTGTCTCTAGATTTGTCATTATAGACAATTTTCAAATTCCTTGTCCCTTTTCCTACTATATGCCTACATTTCTTAACATACAGAGGGTGATCAAAATATATGGTGAGTGGTTAAATTAAAAATTTATTACAGTACAAGACACACTGGCATTACTCTCCCTCGACCTACTCCTCCCGCCCTGGCTTGAACACACCTATCCCATAGTCCTTGCCATTTTCTGACGCAGCACTCAAAGTGAGTACGTTTATGAGGTGTGGTCAAAAATATGGTCAATGTCACTGCCAAGCACCACCCCACGGAAAGGCAGCTCGTAAAAACATCACGTGTGAGGGCCGGGGGTGTAGCTCGGCGGCTCCATGTCTGCTGCACAAGCGCAAGGTCCTGAGTTTGATCCCCGGTACCGGAAAAAAAAACAAAACAAAACAAACCATCACGCTTGTCCGCTTCTACCTTATTCACCAGTTCCTGCACCATGTGACTTCTGGCTGCTCTCCAAAGTCAAAATGACTGTGCAAAATAAGCATTTAAATCAATTCAGGACACTGAGGCAGCGAAGATGGAACAGCTAAAGACACTCACAGAAGAGGACTTCAAGAAATGCCTCAGAAAGTGGCAACATCGATGGGTTCCGTGTACTGGAAGCCAGGGAAAGTATTTTGAGAAGAACAATGGCAATGTGTCTTTTACTGAAATAATTTTTAAAAATCTGAACACTTACCAGATTTCTTTGAACACGCCTAACACGTAATACAAACACAATACACACACACACACACACACACACACACACACACACTCTTCCTTTTTGAAAATGGCATCACTGAACATGAACATCCATTTGTTTACCCAATTTATAATATAATTATCTTTGGCTGCTTCCAAAAGCCAAATCCATTCCTAAAAAAGAAATAGCCCAATAGTAAAATATTCAAAACAGAGCTGAGATAAATTTGCCCTTCCCCCAAATCTTGAAAGTATTTTTAAAAACTGGCAGCCCTATGGCAGTAAGTTGAGCTACAAACCAAGATCTTTACTTATGAAATGACAGGATCATTTGGAAATAGAAATTGAACTATCTTCACTAAAACAGTAGCTAAACGAGTTTAACAGTCACAACAACTGACATTTATGTAATACTTTTCCATTTATAAGTGATGTCACAAACATTTTTTCCCCAGAGCCCTTGAGTAATCCTGCAGGCCTACTCAGGTACAGAAAAGCCACAGTCCCTTGATTTCCGTTCTGTCTCTGCCCATGGTGGTCGTGTAAGCTTTGGGTGAGGACACCGGGACCCTCTTAGCCTGGCCCTTGAGTGGCTGCGTGGAGCACAGCCAAGGACCACGGTGGCCGTTCACCTAGTTGTTCTGATGTGAGGGAGAAACAAATTGCTTTTGTCCCCTGAACAATATGATTTTGGAATCTCACCGCACCTGTGACCGCTCTTTCCTGTGCCCCTCCTTACCGCACACCTACCATTTGTGACGCTTCTGCCCAGCAAGCCGTGAGGAGGGCAGGCCAGTGCCCGTCTCAGTCCCTGCAGACAGTGAGACCCATTTGGGATTTCCTGTAGCTTCTTTTCATGGCTGTTCAGTAGGTTACTCCCTTCAGTGGCTTCGCTTCCATCTACAACTTTCTCTTGTACCTAAAGGAATTTTAAAAAAATTCTTAGAACTGTTTGTTTCCTACATCTTTACACTTGCAAGATGCTTTTACTAGAACCAAAGATCACACTTTATAAGAAAACTGTACAACTTTTATTACTAACACATGAGCAAGTGCTTGGGACAAGCCCTGCATGTGCAGTATTTAGCACTGGGTCATGACTTTTAGAATGTTAAATGCTTGAGTCACATAAAATAAACTGCATTATGTTTTCACTATGGTACTGGGCAATAGTTGGTACATAACTAAAGTGGCTCAGGAAAACAACCATCTGTGCTAAAACCAATTCACATTCATCCCTCTACTTGAAATTAAGCAGCAGAAAGAGGGAAGAAACCCGGATCATCCTAGGATTAAGCCAGGAGCACCAGGAACACAGGCTCTGCCAGCCAAAGGCAGGAGGGTGGTGGCAGCCTTAGGTGGGAAAGCAGGGTTTCATGCTTAGGGGCAGAGATCCGGGAGAACTGTTAGCTGAGTGTAACAACACAGCCATTAAGGACGGGAAATGATAGTCCTTTCCTTAAAGGAGTGACTGGGATGTTCAGTGTTTGACCCCAGGCTTTACCTGTGCTCCCTGAGGCCCAGCGGCCCTGAAGTTCGTCTCTCTGGGCAGCTCCCAGTCATCACATTCGATGGGCTTGTCCTTGTCCCCCATGACTTGTGATTATGAAGAAGACAACACAACACAGGGAGAGCAGCGAGCTCTGTTCTGGAGGAGACAGTACAGAGACAGAGCAGTATGCTGAAGATCTTTGGAAGTAAATTGTACTTTTTTCTTCCCTTTGCACTCTGAGCCAGGTGCTGGGGCGCACACCTGAAACGCCAGCAGTCTTGAAGTTGAGGCAGGAAGATCGCCACGGGTTGGGAGGCCAGTCTGGGCTACACAGTGAGGTAAAGGCCAACCCGTACCACACAGCGGGATTCTGTCTTTCAGTGAGAACCAAGACCTGTCATGTAAAGGTACAAGATCCCAATGATGAATGTAATTGTACTGTACACCTAAAATGTACCAATAAACTCAATAAAAGAAAAAAAAGATAATAAATAAATGAAAAAGAATTCTGAATGTTGAAAATATTTCAAGCTTTACTACTCTTACCCTTTCTTTGGATTCCAACAATTGTAATGATTTTTAAAATATGGCGAATGTTTAATTTTTAAAGATTTATTGTAGTAAAAGACCTATTCCCATTAATCTTCCTCAAAATGCTCCTCCTCATTTAAACACAATGCATTGTCCTTGCTACTTTCTGAAGTGGCTCACAGTTTCTATTCACAGCGGTTTCTGTCAAATAAAGACATTCTATTGTGTTCTCATTCAGTTTGTACCTGACACTGTGTGCTTCTGGCTCCTCCCCAAAGCCAAAATGACCGTGCAAGGTAAATGTTTTGAATCAATTCAGGACACCGAGGCAGTCAGGACAGTGCCACTAAAGACCCTCAGGAAAGAGGCCTCCAGAGCTGCTGCAGGAAGCGGCAAGTGTGTCTGAAGCAAGGCGAGGATTTTGAGGGGGATTCATGGCAATGTGTCTTTACTATAATAGTTCTTAAAAACTTAAATATTCAGTGTATTTTGTGATCAACTTCATATTATGTTCATTCTTAACTTCTTATTTCCCTTGAAAAAGTCTTTGCTGGCAATTCATGCTTTACTTTGTTTCGCACCCTGATTTTGGAGTTCTACTCCAAAACATTCTGAGCAATCTCACTACCGAACTTTCGCTAACGGGCCAAGCTGCTGAAGCAGCGAGACTCCAGGTAACTTTCCACAGGTGGTGTGAGGAACGAGTCACCGAAGGGAAACTGCTGGGCTCCGTCGTTTTCAAAGAAACCCAGTGTCACTCACTTCTTCCTGGTTCTTCTTTCTAAGTTAAAATTGAAAATACACCACCACTGATGAAGGTCCACAGGATCTTAGGCCCCCGTAGTGGGTGCTATGGTAGTCTCTTGCTAGGAGTCATTATGGGCAATTTTTAGACTGCCAAAACATGTCTTTTGTATTCCATAGACTTACGTATGCCAGGAAAGATAAACTCACACCTAGAAACCACAAAGCAGACTACAGGTTGGCCCAATAAATGCCCCTAACCCCTTCTCCCTTGATTCCCATGCTGTAGAGGGTGAGAAGCCAAACACTCCAATCCCTGGCCACTGCAGCAGCTCGACGTGGCCGTGTCACAGCTCCAGATGAGATGCAGGTGGGGGCCCCTGGCAAGGCATTCAGGTGAGCACACTCTTCACTCTTCGCCCTCCAACATCTCCCTTTCTCCTTCCCAGAATGATACAAGGCCTGGAGAAGCAGCCACCGACTTCCAACCACGAGAATGTGGGTTCTACACTCCGGACGGTGGGGGGGTCAGACAGGAGCTGGTCTCTGGGGACACCTTGGTGCAGCCCCCTTAGTCCTCCACTGCCACACAAGGATGCGACTGTTTAAGCCTCTGTTCCCATGTTTCCCTTTGGCTAGCACCCAAATTCAACCCCTGTGCATAGGTACAATGAGCATTATGGTAGAGGTAGAAAAAGAAAACTCCAAATCTGAATAATGTAATAAAAATTATGTAAGAGCAAAATGAACTCAAGACATATTTGCATGGTTAATATGTGCCAGACATTGCGCTAGGCCACAAAGACCAAGATGAATTAGACAAGATCCCCTTCCTCAAGAAATCAGTTTCTTAGTTTAACAACATGCAAGAGGTTTGCCTTTAAGTCAAAGAATTGCATAACATTGTATCTCCGCCACCACCATTTCGTACCTGACAAAACAATGTGAGCCAGGGATGCATCTCACACAACTGTCAGTTTTGATTATAATTCTCTATGAAATATAGAATGTGAGAATTTAAAAACTTGAAATTTATAACCATACTCTTGTCACATCTGGAAGCAACTATTTCTCTGAAGCCAGTGTGAGGTGGTTTCACATCACTTCCCACGCAATGAACCCTCAGTTGCAACAGCCACACCTGCATAGGACCTAAATGATCTTCTGTGAAATAACACAAAGGTGTTTCTGCACCTTCAAGCCAACTGACCAACAAGGTTTGGCGTGTGAGCACCAGTTCTGCACTGTGGTGACAAAATATCTGCCAAACAGCTTAAAAGTGGAAAAGAGAAAAGTTTCAGAGGTTCCAGTCCATGGTTCGGGGCTTCACTGCCTTTAGGGCCGTGGTGAGGAAGAAACATCATGGCAGACGGGTGTGGTGAAGGAAAAGCTGCTCACTCCCTGGCGGTGGGCAGCACGGGGTGGGGGTGAGGGGACGAAAAGAGCCAGAGGGGTGGGGTGGGGAGGGTCCTGGCCCCCAACCCTGAAGTCCATCCAGCTAGGAGCTCCCCAGTGGACGAGCCTGCGAGTGCTCTCGTGGCCAGGCTGTGCCTCTGAACACTGCTGCACCACCTCGGGGGAGAGTGCACAGTTAAACATAACAAAGGGAAACATTTTCTGCTTTAAAAGAAATCAAAATATATGGTAAACATAGAGTTATTTTTTTAAATAACTCTAGGAAATGTTAAATAATTAGGAAATGTTAAAGTAAAAAATCTGGCAGTCAATAAAATAGGTGTCAGTGATTCACAAAATTAAGTGCAATGCATTCTTTTTCAATAGTGCCAGTGAAATGCCTTATTTTTCCCCATTTTCATGGAAGACTTTAAAATGCAAACACTAAACCCTTTCCTTGATCCTGGAGAAGGTTCGAGAGAGCTGCTAGGGCTAAAGTGTGGGGGAAACACAGAGAAACTGGATGCTTTCTACAAAACCAGGAATCACAGATTAACAGAATAATAAAATCTGGGGGCACCCTTGCATAAGTTATGAAATCCTCTCCCTTTAACATTCACATGAGAAAACTAAGCTGGCTGGCCAGGCACGGTGCGACATGCCTGTAATCCCAGACACTTAGGAGGCTGGTGCAGGAGAAGGCAAGTTTGAGGCCAGCCGGGGCAGCTCAGCCAGACCCTGTCTCAAAGCAAAAAATGGCTGGGCATGTAGCTCAGCACTCAGCAGTAATAAAAACAAACAAACAAACAAACAAACAAACAAAAAAACAAGCCAACTAAAGCCTAAGGAAGCTAGGTAGCTTTTCTTAAAGAACACAGCCAGGATGTGAGGGCGATGTGGCTGCAATACCTGTCACCCCACTGGTCACTTGGGTTGACCTGGCTGGCCAGGCAGAGGTCCCCTTCCTCCCTCACCGCTCCATGTGCATCCCTCCTGAGTGTCTGAGGAGCTGCACTCCCCTGCTGGAACCTCCAAACAAGCTCTCACCTGACAGAGCCAGTATGAGCCATGCTTGATAGAATCGTGTGAACAGCTGTGAAACAAGATTTCCACCCAATCAGTGCATGATGTCTCCAGCCTATGCCATGTTTTAAAAACCTCACTCATCCATACCCATATTGAATTACAACTTTTAAAACACATTCCAAGAGCAAATATCAATACTTTTATTTTCTACTTTGTACTATCTTCAATTTTACTTCAAATGCTAACATTTTACAGACCTCGTAAGTTCAGCAAACAACATGAATTCAATCAGATTTCTGTGGCCAAATCCAGATTTCTATGGAGCAGTGAGTGCTGACCTTGGCCAAGGGCGTGGCTGTGAGGCTGACCTGACCGCCCACCAGCTCATGTTAGCAGACAAATGTTTTCTACAAGTAAGAGCAAAGGCTGTTCATGACTCTAGCATAACCAATATTCAGAATTTTCTACAAGATGGATGCACACAGAAACTATCTGGGCTTCATTTGAACTTTAATTTCTAGTATTAGGGACGTATGCCATTAAAATTATAGAGCTGTGAACTCGAAAGAAATAGGCTCCCCCATCTTTCACACGTGGGAAAAAACTACACTTCGATCAAGACTAAAAACAGATGTACATATGTAAATGTGTGTAAGTCAACAGGAAAAAACAAGTCTCTTAAGAGGTAGCCGTTGAAAAGGGAAATGGCATCTGGTTAGATTGTTTTCATTTTTCTTTTCTATATTTCTGTATCATTAAGATTTTGAGAAGATGCTCTTATACATTTTAAAACACATTTAAAAAGACAATCTGTGCAATTCTTCGCTTTAGAGAGAAGAAAGTGACACAGACTTCCTTGGAAATAGTATCCTTCATAGATAACATTTGGTGATTTTATTTTGGATAACATAATTCCACCTGCCACAATTGAAGGACATTTTTTTTTCATTTTGTGGCCTTCAAAATAGACAGTGGAGCTGCCTAGAATCTTCTACAGCAGTAATTTTCAAACACTTTCCATCCAAAAAGTTTCCATCAACTGAACCTTTATCTGTACATCCAGCAAGAAGAACGAATAAAGGCGCGATGCAGCTCGCTCGTGTGCCTATTCACCTGGTCCCTCCGAGGGGCCGCCCTTTGGAAAACACTTCAGCCCTCCCCACCCAGAGATCTGAGTATTACATCAGACTTCTCTGTTTCAGGTTATTCTACCAACCTCAATGTTTTAAAGTGCTATCGGAAGTATCTCAGAGGAAGTAAAGGGCCTATCAACTTACAAACGTTTATAGGTCCTTGGTCCAGTGAGACTGCACTTACTGCTATGAACTGAGGACCACTCCGAGCTGCCATCTGGTTCCCTTGCTGCTGTTGTCCGTGGGAGGGACAGGCCAACATTTAGCAGGGTTACCTTACTGGGAATGTACATTATTGCTTGCCACCCTTGAATGTATGTTCCTTAC